TTAAAATTCAAGACAACATAAAATTTTGAGCAATGGATTTCATTTTAAGAGAAACATGGCGAATAAGGCGTTTGCATTACCCGGTAGACCGCGGTCGTCGCTTTGCTTCTATTTAAAAATACATATCCAAGCCTGTATTTAGCAGGAGATCTGTCTCATGTATCAGTGGGATTAAACTCCATTCCTGCACCATTGCGTTGTACTGCATTTATGCCATGGTCCATGAAGAAATGGAGCGACAAAAGCTCGAGATAAAGGGGGGGGGACTTTGCGTTTTTGATTATTTCAGTCGGAAACAAGTCATTTTTACAATCATCATACCGTATTTATGGCTGATTTGCAGGTGTGGAATTCACTATTCCGGATAAGAGCCACAATGCACTGCTTCCATAAAGAAAAACGTATCAGCAATAAAACTAGTAGGAGTCACAAAATGAAAATACCACGATTGAGGGCAACAGGAACACTGGCAGTTCGCTGATGTGACGGTCGCAGACTCGTCTCAAGGATGTCATCTGTCACTCCTTTTGGACGATCAATTTGGGCGGTGCGGTATTGAAAGAAGGTTTTACCCGAGTACTGAAATCGTGAGGACCTTCCCAGGAAACTGATTGGACCTCGCTTCACCGCGCGCGGCTCTTTTAACCGGAAGAAGGCGTGGTGCTCCACTGCTGACTTCCACAGCCGCTTCGCTAATTGAGGATTCAACAGCAGAAAACCAACCACTGCTTCTTCCGGTTCTGTCTAATTCATAATAAATGCCTTTAATGAGACTCATGAAAGTCACTGTTCAATCAAATGAAGGATTGTGTAAACAACTGGAATTAGTGTAACTCAGGTGAGTCAAACTGCTCCTCCATAATTTAACTGTAAATCAATGACTATGCAAATATGAACTGCATTGCCATTCTCTCATCCAGACGAGACCAGTGCTACAACTCCAAAAAATTTGGAATGCAGTCTTCGAGGCCAATTATTATATACGCCGCGATTTAATCGTTGATGATGCAAAATTGGAAAAAAAGATTCTGTATTTTTGGTCTGCAAGGGCGATTTATTTTCATATATTTTAAATAGTCATGTTTCTTTCATATGGTTTTGTGACAATCCAGAGGGCAACTGGCATAGGTCGGTTTTCGTGGGGCGGTTTTGCGTTGGAGTGTCTCGGCAGCACCAGAAATCTTTATCAAAGTTTTCATTCAAAGTGTCAAAATTTTTTGTCAAGTGCCAACTCATGCTTTGGTCGACAGACAAGGTTTGTGCATTATCGACGAAGCTCAACTCTCAAACCACCTTGGAGCCTCAAGGGAAGTGAACCACACTTTCGACTGGAAGCCC